TGGAGGCCATCGCTGGTAGGTTGGAGGCCATAGCTAGTAGGTTGGAGATCCCTGCTACCCCAGGGGGTGGGGGGGTCGGACCCCCAACAGAAAATGGATTATCCATTTTTGACCCTGATGATGCATTAGCAACGGTCTAGATCCAGTGATATTCAGTGTCGTCCATAGCACCAGCCTGCACTTACCCAACCTGTTTTGCACTTTCTGCATCATATTTTGCATCGTTTGGGTTGTGTTTTTGATCTTTTGGCGTCATCTTTTTGGTCTCTTTTGGGCAGCGTCCTGTTTCTGGTCGAGAACAAAAAAAGCATTGGATAGGGGTCCAGGTATCTGGTATTTCGAAGTGCAAAACAAGCGAGCGTTGGGTTGTATATCTTGTTACATCGAGCGTTAAATCAAAGAAACAGACCTTGATTTACATTGCGTGGACGCGTTGCCTAATACACTGCATGGACGCATTGCTTACGCCCGCGGGGCGTAAGCGATGTGGACCCTCAGGGAGCTCCGAGCAGTGGGACCGCGTTGCCGTCCAAAAGGTCGCGTTGCTTACGCCCGCGGGGCGTAAGCGATGCTCCTGTTTTTTTTAATTTTTGGATCATCATTGAAATTAGGGGGGAGGGGACAGACCCCGCTTTCTGTAGTATAAACCAGTGGGGTGCAGCAAGACTTCTTACAAAATACAGAGGTGCATCCAACTGTCAGGCATACAAAATGAAAGGGCCAACAAGCATTTTTTTTTTGCCCGGTGCCCCCCATCAATCTATAGGAAATGTAAGGTCAAGCACTGAGATTGCTGTGCCCTTCATTTTGTAAGAAGTGAATGTTTTCCACTGTTGGTACATCAGATTTGATCAGTTTGGGAGGCCCCCAAAAGCGACTCATTTTATAAGGAACCACAATTCATTTTGTAAGGAGACAGCTGCAGTAAGCAGCATAAGCCACACCAATGGTTTTTGTAAGGATTAGTGTCCCGGTTTGCCAATTCAACCTATCAAAATTCCTGCTAAAACTATTCCATGTTGTCGAGCTTTCCTTGCACTCCAATCCGATAATTTTTTTCTGCAGTTTCCCCATGTAGAGCTGTATTGGTCCTGATTTCTACAGGACATTGGGTAGGGCAACTCATGGCTCATCGCCTAAAAAGCGTTCACATGAGCCCGGTCATATTGACCGTGTCAAGACCTCTGGCATAGCTATGCTATGTCTGGTGGCCATTGAGACAAAACCAAAATCCAATATCATCCAAAATGGATCAAAATGGAACGATCTACCATTAATCTACCCTACTGGTTTGTACAGGAGTCGACGTGAGTAGAGAAATTGAACCAAATTTACGATTCAAAATCTAGATAGTAGATGTCCTGTAGACACACATGAATGATTCTGAACATTCCTGAACAAAACCAAAACAAGTCAAGTATACTCCAGTATGTCTAAATACTCCCACGTCTGATCCAATTCAACAGCGCATCTTCGAGCACTGGAGCAGTGAACAACTACTGACGACCCCTACAGCCATCTACAACCCCTCTCTCCACTGTGGCCAGTAGAGTTTTGTTCTCTGGTACTCGAGCGAGCGAAGCATTGAAGGAACTTCAATGAATCTGCAGCCAACCCCAAGGTCTGCCAGAAGGTACTTCACTCTTCGATTCCTAGTAAACACACATCTCATCATCACTTCTGTCGAGGAGCGCAGAGCTGCAAGTAGTCCATCGTCTCTTTCAGGAACTGCTGCCAGCTTGTTCGTGAGGATCGAGCCAAATGTGCAAGGATGCTGCTCAAATGCTTGTAGACCGCCTCCCCATATAGAGGAGGAGACTTCACCAGCCGGTACCTGCACAAATGATTATGATGATCCATGTCTTACAAAATGCATAGGTGCAGTCAGCCAGCCCTACAAAATGACATGGACATTAAAAGCTGTACATGTACATACATGGTCCCATTTTGTAGCAAGTGCTACCTCAGATTCACTTTCAATCAAGTAATAATAAATAGTTATTCCACAATAGATAAACAAAATAGATTTAAAATAACTTAAAAAAACATAAAAAAACTTGTCTTTTCCAAAGTACATACATTCCAGCATTTCCGGAGCTGCTTCTCGTAGAGCGTCCCAGGAAAACTGTGATGCGCCCTCAAGCTTGAGCCGGCACTTCCCCTCCAAATCGAACATGGGAGTCTTCTGAAACATGGCTTGATCCTTCACATTGATCTCGTCAAGGGCTCTTTGGATTGCAGCGCGGCCCGGGGCACTGCGGCGGAAGAGGTCGGCATTCATGGGTTCTTGTTGTTCCTCCACTTCTTCAACTTTACGCTTGCGCTTTGCCTTTGGCTTTGGCACTGTCCCGCTCTTTTTCTGGCCAGAGAAATCCACATTACCTGACCCTCCAAGGGCCCGGTTGCTTCCTCGGACCATGGTATGTCCCACAGTCCACAACTCAACATCTTCCACCTTTGTGAGGGCCTCAGCACTCTCTTTTGTGAGGGTGATGTTCATTCCATGATCGTGTTCCTCACTCTTGGCGACGTCCAAGATGCAAACCAGGGATTCAATGCGCAGGACATGGGCCGTGGAAGTGCTGCTGCACGTCCACTCCAATGGTAGCTCCTCACCAAAAACATCCAAAAACACATTCCAAAAAAAACATCAGAACATCTTACAAAATGACAGGGCCACCAGGAATTGACCTTCAAACACCTTACAAAATGACAAGGTCACCAGGAATTGACCTTTAAAAATCCTTACAAAATGGAAGGGTCATCGTGATTTATATACTGTATCCTTATACAAAATGCATCAGTGCGCACATAAGCCCCCCTTGTCCTGCTCAGTGTTGGCCATGTCAAGCGACAGTGCACGGAAAGCTACACAGGCATTGATAGCGACCTCTGCCACACAAGGCTTTGGTTGCCGAACTCCTCGCCAAAGAGTCATCACCATGGCAATTTCAACCTGGGACTGGTTGCTCTTCCCAGGCAGCTTTACCAGGACAACCTGACCAGACCTCAGCAAGGATAGGGCTATGGATGCCTATGGCACCGCAGTACCACAAGTGTTGCGCACCTAGATGGTGGGCCCCGTAGCCTTCATACCATTCCATACCCTCCGGGTACGACCCGTTGATTTCTTACAAAATGACCATCTATAAACAGTTTATATGGGGCTTGACCCCTCCCATTTCATAGTGCTGGAAAATGCATGAAATTGCTGCAGTAGGGCACTAGGTTCATTCGACCAAGGTACATCAGTTTGTCTGGGAATGCCATTGACACCTCCAGCTCTTTTGATGCCTGCTGAGCCATGTCCTTCCACTTTTGAAGCCGTGAAGTGCGAGATTTGTACTCACCGTCCTCTTTCTCCCAATTCATCATGGCCAGCACGTGCTCGTTGTACCTGAGCGGGGTTGCCGGGAGTCCGGGAGAGACCAACATCCACGCCATCCCACCCTCGACACTTTGATCCAAAGTGCTGATGCCAGTTCAGCTTGCGAGCCACCTTGCGGCACATGAGAGGATTGCGAAGAAAGCCAGTGTCTGCACCACCAAAGCAGCAGCGAAGCGTGATGCAAAGACGGAGCAGCTTGTTGAACAACTCCTGTCTGGAGTTCCCCTTGATCGCCAACGCCGTAAACAATGTGTTTGGCATGTAGTTCCTGTCCGCTTCATCTTTGTGGTGTGAACCCAAAGCGTCTGCGCCAAATGGAGACTTGGAGTTGGTAGCCGTTAGCAGGGCTTGAAATTCCTTTGGGTCTGGAATTCCTTTCAGATCATGGTGATCAGCACCAGTCGGCGCAGCATCCTCAGCAGGCAATGCATCAGAAGCGCCCTGGGCATCAGAAGCCCAAGCCTTGGTTTCACTCACCACCTGCTGCAAGAGATTGAAGCATGCACTTTTCGATGCTCCTGCCTGTCCTGCCTCACCCTTCTCTCCTTGACCATCCATCTCATCATCATCCACGTGCTCCACAGACGCATGCAGGGCACCGCCTGACTCGAATGCTCCATTCGCACAACCCTCCTTGTAGAGGCGCTCCACTTCATCTACTCCAATCCCACTGACTTTGGAAACCAGGGAGACTGCCGATTGCAACGCCCTCTTTGCACACCACTGATACCTGAAAACAACTATATAATATTACAGCGCATCAGGCATCTACAAAATGAAGGGGCGCTAAGGGGTGCACTCTACAAAATGAAGGGCTGCCAAATTACAACCTACAAATTGAAGGGGTCGCATGCCTATCCTACAAATATTTACAGAATCCATACATATCTTGTATACTACTGTATGAAACTGGAAGATATTATGTATATTTATGTATAGAGAATGCATGAGAATGCAGATCAAATCCAAACATATCCAAACAGTGCCTTGTTTTGCCTAGAGACTCTCGGGTGCCCAGGCACTTCTCGCCACCATTCTTTGGAGCCTTCAAACCGTTCAGGTCCTTGCTGATCTTGAGGGCGTGGCGTGCTGAAGAACGAAAGTATCCTCGGCAGGCCATCTGGGCGTTCGCGTGCTGGGTTCTCAGGCACCCAAACCACTGCTCAATACCCTATTCTGATAGCCTGCCGATCCCTCGGCTGAAGAGCTCTTCCTCTGCGGATTTGGTCAAAGTCAAAACCACAGCTGACAACGCACAAGCTTGGAGGACTTCGCGAGTTTGCCGTGCAAGGAAGGCTGAGCCGCTAGGCCAACCCATCTTGCGCTCCTTGTCGTGGCTCAATAGCGCAAAGAGGTCCAAACAAATGAACCCTGTCAGGGCGACTTCACATCGCACATTCAAAGGGGGCTGTTGGTGAAGTATCGGGGCAATGCACATGGCAGTGCACAAGTTCCAGAGCAGTGCTCC